TGGAAATGATGATGCTGAAAAATCCCATCTTCTCCTGGAACCACCAACTAGCCAATTACCATTATGCAGGTAGAAAATTACAAAAACAAACTATATAGCAATGGGCCAGTGGCAGTGTTCACATCAGAAACGTTCACCCAGAAATGAACATGTAATCACCATGTACTCAACCTCAAAACTTTATGAGTTTCTTTTTTTCGTTAAACACAAAATAAGTTATTTTGAAGACTGTTAGAAACCTGTAACCATTGATATCCATATTTGAGAAAACATATGGTATGGAAGTCAGTGGTTACAGGTTTTCAGCGTTTTTCCAAATACTTCTTTTGTGTTCAACAGGAGAAAGAAACTCAAACAGGTTTGTAGGAAGTGAAGGGTGAGTAAGTGATGACAGAATTTGGAGATTTGGGAGAACTATCCCTTCAAGCTTGAATAAATGTCATTGCTGTGGCAGTAGGGTATGCCAGATATTGTTGTCTGTCATTGAATCAGCCATTCAAGAGATTTGATCGTAAATGCTGAAATGCTGATTCCTCCTTTGATTAAACCTGTGGTTTTAATATTCATATTATTTATGTTATTTTGGTTTTGTTTGGAATCGTGATCTTGTGAAAAAATGATTCTTTTTATAGTCTATAATGAGTTTATTTGTAATGCTTTATGGTAATGATTGATGTTCTTTAAATATTGACAGGATCAGACTATTGGAGTGCAGATGAAAAACGATACTTCAACAAGGGAATTTCTGCTTATACAAAAGATTTCTTCATGGTGCAAAAACTGGTATACAGCTTTTATATCTTTGGTCTAATGTTGTTCATACTGTACATGACTCGCCTAAATCATGTTTTCCATTTTTAAAGATTGTGTGTTTCTCTTTGTGTGTCTGTTTTTGCCAGGTGAGGACTAAAACTGTGGCACAGTGTGTGGAGTTCTACTACACCTATAAGAAACAAGCGAGGGTTACTCGTAATGGGACATGTACATATGGACCTTCAGATCCAGAAGAAAGCATCCCTGTGGTAAAAGCTATTACTTGTTACTCTTTATAGTTTTATAAAATGTGTTTGTCAGTTCATCTTTAAGGCCAGTTTACATAGACAGACACCTTTTTAAATCCTGTTCTACACACAAACAAAATAACTGTACACAGACATTTGGAACAAAACTAAAGTGAACAGCTAGCATTTCTATGTTTTATAGTATAATACACTATTCCTGAGTCATTCTGTTTCCACATCTTACTAGAAAAATACAGCATGTAAGAACAAGCCAGTATTAAACCTGTTTAATTACAAACCGTTTTTTAAAATTGAGAATAAGTATAATTATGTAACTAAAATACATATTTATTTAATATAATGCGTATTTGTGATATTGTGATGTGGTGTATTTCCTTGATAAAGTTACTTTTATAAGTTTAAGTTGTTGTTTTTTTTACGGTTGGCTTGTTCTTATTTGCTTAATTTTCTAGCAATATTTGACAACCCTAATGAATCAAGACATACCAGATATACTGTTTTCTTGCACCTTTTATACAATAGAGAGATTCACCATTATAAACATTAAACAACTAGGTGTTTGGTTTAAGTTGATAAACTAGTAATTTTAATGGAAATAAAGAGAATAAATGTGACCTACAGGTGATAACTGTACAGGGCTTTTACATGTCATGGAATTTCTGGAGTATCTTTAAATTTTTAAGGGTCTATTTCAGATATACTTTTTTATTTTCTTTGTTAATCATGAAATATCAGGGATTTTTGTTTGTGTACATTTATCAAAATGTAATTGTCTATACCGTATTTTTATATCATGCCGTTTCATGCCTTAAGTAAATGTTATCAAATATGGGAGACGGAGCACTTGACAGCCATGCAACCAGTATATACATATGCTAAAATAGCAGGTCAAACATACTAATACAATAAAACCCAACAACAATGGAATAGCATAAGGTGAAAGGACTGAACTATTGAAATGTATTTAATACAAAAGGCTTTTTAGGGTAATGACAAATTCAAGACGCCTCGTATAAAGAATGGAGTCCCATGCATTGCTCAGGTGTAAGCTTATTGGATTAAGGTCAGGTGATTGGCTGGGCCATTCTAGCAACTTCATTTTCTTTTCTGAAGCCAGTTTTGAATTACATTGGATGTGTTAGGGATCATTGTCTTGCTGAAATGTCTATCCTGGTTTCATCTTCATCATTTGGAAATGTAGCTGTTGGACTGAAGCAGCTAAAATTTGTTTACACTGATGAGGGGTAGGGTTAATTTTCTAACTACTGAGATATTTCAGCTACAGCTCCCTTTTTTCATGTGTTCAATACTTTATGGCCATTTCATTTTATTGCAAGTTTTTTTAAACTAATTAGTTTTGTTTTCTTGGTATGTGTGGATTACTTGGGTTGTTATCAACATCTGGCAAGAATTCCGAGGCAAGAGCCCTTTCAGAAATCTGGTTTCTGAGAAAAATTGTGACATGCTCAGTACTTTTTTCTATTCGCTGTATATATGTACAATATAGGTCATGGAAATTTAGCTTTTTAGTAAGTGAAAAGACATACAAATAAATAATAAATAATTGATACAAATAAATAATGGATATCAAACGTGCAAGATGCCAGAGTGTTGGTATGGCTACCACAGGGTGTACTTTCATTTTTGACAGTATTTGCTCCCATATTTAAATCTGTTTGTTCACAGTGTGCATGTGGTCGTTGTCTTTGACTCATCATGACTAAAAGGCTGTAAGATGTATAGTAGAATACAAAAGTGAGACAATACTTAAAATTGAGTGCTGGTCATACTTGCCTTTCATTATATATTTCATAAAATATCATCAGCCTTTTCTTTTATTTGCGATACAGATGAACGCAAGACAAGCAGATAAAGAAAATGACTGTAAACAACAGGAGGAAATGGAAGACAGTGTGGATGAAAGGCTACAAGATGTGACCAAGACACTTCAGCAAAGTGACAATGTGAGTATTTTACCTAAAATTGCACTCCTTTTTGCATGTCAATTCAGCTTGAGAGACACCAGTATGTGTGTCTTGGTTGAACCTGAAATAATAAACAGCTGATTTAAAATCCAAGGGAATAGCTCAGTCTCGTCCTTACTATTTTGTCCAGGAGAGGGCAGACATGGCTCAGGAGGACCAGAAGAAAAGCTCTGTGGCAGCAGAAGAGTCTTCTGGTCTGATGGTAGTGGTTCAACCCACCTTTAAAACCCCTTCACCAGCACCTCCAAAGCCCCGCTCTTACAACATCGGCAGGAAAACCAAGCCCTCAACCGTCAGCAAACCTCAGGGAGAGCCAGAGGGGATTTTTCCTTGCAAGAAGTGTAGCAGGTCAGTCAGTTTGTGGATACTAGTAAATTGTCTAAAAATATCTGCTAATTAAAATCAAAGGAGATAAGCTTGTTAATTACAACTACCTCAAACGACCAGTAAAATTTGTTTGTTTCTAATCTGTTTGTATTGCATTGATTTTACTGCATTTATCTTACTCTCTTATCCCAGTGTGAATTCCGCTGACTTTACTATTTATCTGTGATAAATAGTGGTTTCTTTGTGGATTTTAATTATGAATATTGAAAATTACGTTCAGTTTTTCTGTATTAATATCATAGTGAATGTATTACAATATTGCAACATTTTGGATTCAATTTAATGATAATTTCACTATATTTGACAAATTATTTCCCAAAGATTGAATATATGATAAGTTTTAAGTATAAGATTTTAATTTAATATTTATATTAGTAAATTTGATTTTACAATATGTTTATAGTGTATTATTTAAATTAATGTTAATATCATGGTCAATACTCATCGTAGCACACGTGCTGCTGATTATGTGCCAATAAAAGTGATTTGATTTGATAGCATATTGATATTATTATGTCAAAAGCCACATATAAAATATTCTTTTACTGAAATGTAAATTAATTTCTAGCATTGAATTTTATTTTGCATCTATTTTGCAATTTATATATAGGGTGTTCTATAAAGTGAAGAGCCGCAGTGCCCACATGAAGAGTCACGCAGAGCAGGAGAAGAAAGCAGCAGCTCAGCGCCAAAGAGAGGAAGAGGAGCAGGCAGCTAAAGCCAGACACGAAATGATACTAGTGGCGAGGAGGAAAGAAGCACAAGGCAGAGGTCAAGAGGAGAGCAGTGAAGCTGAGGAGAGCTCAGCAGAGCCGGACGACGATCGGGATGTAGACTGGCAATGAGGAACAGGTGACTCCTTTAGTCTTCTTTTGTACCAGTTGGTACCAAAAAATTGTGACTTGTGCATCTCAATTGAGGGCAGTTGACATGTTTGAAACAATCTAAAATACCTTAGCCTTCTCATTTTTACCAAAATTTTATAAGAACTTGGTATATCCTTTGGTATATATATATTTTAAAAGTGCAAATATTATGACAATTTAGCATCATTCATGATGAATGACGTTGAAACATGAAACGTTCAGCTTATTGTTGAGCTATTCAACACGTGTACAGTCTTTTTGGTTTGATTTTGATCAAAGTACCTGAACAATTTTTGTAATCTTTTTGTTTTTATGTTTTTTTTTACATGTGTCAATGTAATATACATAATATGCAATCAAAAGCAAATTAAAATTCACTCCCAAACTACCTATGGATAATTTTCTGTGCATAAAATGTGTATATAATGCATACAAATATAAATGTTGACTTCTACGTTATATATTGATCCAATTATGTATGTTTTTTTTTTCTGTGCTCTAAACTTAAAGGAATGTATATTTATGTTTTGAATGCACTTAAAGAGGATTGGAATATTAGGATTAAGGGATTTTTAAAAAATAAAAACTCACATGTAAATAAAATATTATGTTTAGCAAATCACAACAAACATATCCAACATATTGATCACATTTTTTCCACACATTGTTGACTTGTGATGATGCTTAATGTTTGCCATTTTTGTGTGCACAATTAAAAAAACTTCTAGTTCAAACTATTATTTGTATTATTTGACTTTATATAATAAATATAAAAGGAAAAAGTTCATTTATCAACATCACATTCAGTAAATGTTTTTGATAAGCTTAAATGCATTCAGTGTTTACAAAGAACAGTAGTATTGGGGAATTTCTTTAAATTAAGGTTAAAATAACTGTAGATACTACAAGAAGGGTAAAAGACACCTGGATTCTTCCACTGCTTCCACCTGAAAGTAAGAATACAATCAATTGGTTAATACATTTTCTTAAAATCCACACAGGTAGAAAAAATAAAATGTTGAAAATAATTTTTTAGATTGGTACTGAATGATCACGCTCAATTCTCACCAGCATCAAAGTTATCCACTAGCATGCCTTTGGTGTCGCTGAGACTTCCATTGTTTGCTTCAGGAACGACACCCAACAGCTTACACATCAGTGGATAGATGCTGACGCTGTCAAACGGCTCTGCCAAGAAGTTTGGGCTGAAGTCTGGCCCAAAGGCTCGGAAAAACATTTTCATATCCATTTCCTCACTGCTGAATCCATGATCTCCTTTGTTGATATCCAAAATGAGCCTCTGCACAAATCACAAATGGGAAATATTACAACAGAAGACCACACACACATACAGAACTATTTGGGGTATGAAATAAAAAACATATTTGGGGTATGACACAATAATACCAGGCAAGCAGCACAACTGTTTTCAACATATTATAAAAGGTTTATGAATGCCAAATCAGAGTAATTTAATGAGTTCTTTTAAAAAAAATGAATACTGTGACACTCAAAACACAGTAATGATTGATAAAATTCAACAAGGCATAAAAGGAATAAATTCCAGCTTAAAACATATTAACATTTTAAACTACAGTATCATTTTAAATGGAAAAAAATTCCATGTATGAATATTATTGCAATTTCAGAAAACCTGTCTTTCCTTTAGCTCAGTTTTTCTTCAACTGCTTCCAAAACAAAACTGTGCATCTGATGTGTTTATTCTGCAAATCCTGCCAATGGCCCTGGTCAAGAACAATTCAGAAATAGACAGCAGCATGCATCTCAAGTGATTCAGTTGGCAAAAATAATCCATTATTTATCTGCTTAACTATACTGGGCCGATATTATTCTTGTTAGATATCAAGTGCGTAACTTTGGTTTGAAAAGTGTGGGGGACACAAATTGGAGGAAATTTTATGATTTAAATCCCATTTTCTACCATTAAATGGACTGTCGCAACTGTTGATATAGAAAATGTGACAATACTGACCTAAGCTTATATTGAATCAACCAACTTGGATCTTTTTTTAATCCATTTTGACATCTCATGCTGCTATGGTATTTTATTAATGGTCATTTCAACCACAATATTTTGCTTATGCACTGAAAAAAATATTTATTGGATTTGATACATTTTTTAAGTGATTGCAAACAATTCATATGGACTGAATTTAAACTATCTAAGTTGAAAATTACTCTATTTTATTTGTTTGTTTAAATTCAGCCCATTTAAATAGTTTGCAACCGTTTAGCAAAAATATTTTTTCAGTGTGCCTACTAGACTTGTCAGCTTTGATAATGTGAGCTTTTAAACAATAGTTTAAAATGAATGACACTTACAGAGTTGATATTGAAACCCAGGTCTGCCAGAAGCACAATAGGCTGAATTCGTGCATGTTTCTTCATGTGAAAGTTTTCTGGTAACTCATCTTTCCTATAGACCGTCAGATTTGGATGTGCGTTCTTCAAGGCATTATAAACTTCTTGTTCTTTGCCCTCTCTTGGTGTGATCATCCCAAACCCACCATAGTCAAGCAAGTCAAAGCGGGTTAGCTTTAACAAACTTATGTAATTGGCAAGTACAATTTCTTTAACCTCAGTGGCGTTTTTAATAGTGGTCATTCCGTGATCTGAGGTAAGAATGACGTTAAGATGATCGGTCAGTGCGTTCTTGTGAATTGATTCCCTGAGGTAACCAATAGTGCGATCGATTTGTTCGATGATCTTTCTTCTCTCATGAGTTTCAGGGCCTACAGCATGACCCACGTTGTCTGGTTCTCCATAGTAGAGAGTGACAAAGTCAAAGTCCTCTTTGGCGAACCATCCCATCACAGTGTCAATGTTCTGTTGCCATTCTGTCTCGTTGTCATCAGGAGACCCGTGATTTTCCACCAGGAACCGATTCACTGCTTGACCACTGTAATTTACTCCTCCACCAGGATAGTAGAAAGATGCTGTTTTCAGACCCTATAAAATAAAGAGAAGATGCTATTAGAGAAAAACAAGGCATGAAATATTCATAAGGTGTGTACTAAAGAATCTGACCAAGGATTTGAGAATCTTTCTAGCAAACTTATATGTGTTGTTTCAAGAAAGCAACCATTCATTTGTGTTTTATTTTTATTTGTTTATGTTAATTTATTCTACATTAAATTATTTTATTTAATCAAATAAACATTAGTAATTTATATAAATTACATTATATCACTTGATCATTAGGTCATGATTTGATTATTATTATTGCCATTTTATTATGTTTATTTTATTTTATTATTATTATTTTCCTATAATTATTGTTTCATTATTTCATTTGTCCATATTGTTATAATCTTATGACTGTGTGAATTCAAGCGACTCTTGTTTTCAAGAGTAAGAGATCAGAGAATATCCGCATTTCAAGGTCTGTATTGTCTCTGGACAATGTTGTGAAGCAGTAATTTTCCATTGCTGTTGCATGTTGTATAATAACACTTGTTTGATTTATTCTAGTCAGACCAACTAAGATTATTCAATAAACTCTGCTCCTCTTTAGCTTTCTCAGTCAACTCCTATATTGATAGGAGACTGTTAATTCAGTTAAATACTGGTTAACAGGTTTGGGTATCGGAAAGTCTGCTGACTTGTTGTTCCTGGAGAAACTGACATTTTCTGACAAGATTTGGCATCTGGGGCTGAATCATTTTTATCTGGCGTTGAGATGGTGGTCTCACATTACCAAATGATGCACACTATGCACTTAACTATTCAACTCAACTATTTTGGTTCAAAAAGAAACAATTATGTCACAGTGCAGAAAATAGTGAAGACATCTTCCCCTGCATTTTCTACAATTAAAAGAAAGACCAAAAAGAAAAAATTCTGGATTTTTTTTTTCTGCTCAAAAAATTCACAAGTTTACCTGTTTTTGCGCCGTTATCCACAGTGGCAAAACACCGTTATCCCACCATTCAGATTTCTTCAGTGTTGCCTTATGAGGGACTCTTAAACCCGTTGTATCATTGAACATAAGGTTATGGACAACACCATGGTCCTCTATCCATCTCCCTGAATGAAAGATTAAGATGTGATCATATAGTTAGACATTGTGATGTGTATATATACTAGCGGTCAAACATTTTATGAAAAAAAAGAAGCTTTTCCTGCTCAACAAGGCTGCATTTATTTAATAAAAAATACAGTGTAGATTGTAAAATTGTGAAATTTTATCGCACTATAAAATAACTGTTCAAAAGTAGTTTATCATTTAATTTAATAATTTATTTGAGGGATTTTAATGCTGAATTTTCAGCTTCCTTACTCCAGTCACATGATCCTTCATAAATCTCTCTAATATGAATTATTATTATTATTATTATTATTATTATTATTATTATTATTATTGTTATTATTATTATTATTATTAGTAGTAGTAGTAGTAGTAGTATTAATATTATTATTATTAGTAATAGTATAATTATTTATAATAATAATAATAATAATAATAATCTTCTTATTCTTAACAATAATAATAATAGTATTAAAAGTAATAATGACTTGAATAATCAATTTATTTGAAACTATATACATTACATTTAATAAATGCTGCCTTGAGGAACAATGATAAAAAAAGAAAAAATAGACCCCAAACTTTTGACCAGTAGTGTGTATAAATACAGTAGAAGTCAGAATTATTAAACATGTTTATTTTTTCCCCAAATTTCTGTTTAACAGAGAGATTTCTTTAACACGTTTCTAAACATAATAGTTTTAATAACTCATTTCTAAATAATTTCTGATTTATTTTATCTTTGCCATGATGACAGTAAATAATATTGTACTATATATATATATATATATATATATATATATATATATATATATATATATATATATATATATATATATATATATATATATATATATATATAATTAATCTGTTTATTAAACTAACATAACAAAGCAATTTTACAGAGAAATTTAAGCAAATATTATTCCCACCTCTACCCTCTACTATATTTTTCAAGACACAGGTGACGAAGGCTTAACTAGATTAATTAGGTTAACTAGGCAGGTTAGGGTAATTAGGCAAATCATTGTATATTGATGGTTTGTTTTGTAGACTATCGAAAAAAATATCGCTTAAAGGGGCTAATAATTTTGACCTTAAAATGGTGTTAAAAAATTAAAAACTGCCTTTATTCTAGCCGAAATAAAACAAATAAGACTTTCTCAACAAGAAAAAAATACTATCAGACACACTGTGAAAATTCCCTTGCTCTGTTAAACATCATTTGGGAAATATTTAAAAAGAAAAAAATTAAAGGGGGGCTAATAATTCTGACTTCTACTGTTTATGCATAAATCTAGTTATACATAATTTTTTTTAGCAAGAACAACCAATATGTATCTGTAGTTTAATAATAGATTTAAATAACTTGATCACAATGTGTCATTGTATTTTTTATTACTCTTGAGCATAACTTAAAATGCACAAAATAAAAACTGTAAATTGACCACATGGTTAATGAACTTGAAACTCTGCTTATGTAAATAACCTTGAAGTTGGAGCACATGCTAACTTTGCACTGTCATTTAATTAGGTTCAATTTATTGGCCTAGTAAGTGTGTGTTCAGCAGCCCTCGGCAGACAGCTTAAGACTTTGAACATCATGATAATGCACAATGGACAACAATATGTACCTTAACAGAGTATAAGCTTTTGTGAAGCAAGAGCACAAAGTACGTCACTCAAGTGTTAGAGGCAATTTTTTTTCATCGTATCCTGTATTAACATTTACAACATGTATTTATCAGTTGTATCACAATCTATATTGTTGTATAATTTCTAGTATACTAGTATAAAGTTTTTCTTTAAAATAATTTCAACTAAAGTTAAAGAGATAGTTTAAACCCACAACTGGAAATTCTGTCATCATTTAATCAACCTTCACTTCACACAAATTAAGATGTGTTAAAGAAAGCTATAAACCTGTAACTGCTGACTTCCATGGTATAGGAGTCAATGGTTAAAAGTACATAAAAGTTTTGGGTGATCTATCCCTTTAAATTGTGTATATATTTTATCCATTGCTTCTAAATTCACTGACTGTTATTCATGAAGTAATTGAAACAACCACTGATGTGTTTTCTCAACATAAGTCAGTAATATATTAATATAAGTAAAAGTTGAGCCTTACCTGTAATAGTAGTAAAGTGTGATGGAGATGTCATAGTGAGAGCTGGAGGATTGATGTACTTTGCTTTCACTCCTTCTTTAACCAGTTTGTCCAGATTTGGAGTGTCCACATCTTGGTCATAATCCCACCTGAAACCATCGAATGAGATCAGCAACAGCTTATTATATGTCCTCCTTTCTGACAGAGGTTTACCGTTCACACTCAGAAATAAAGCCAACACCAGCACAAGTTCTGACTTCATCTTGAGAGACTTAAGCAGAGTGAATATCAGCAAAAGCTGATCTTGGTTTTATAAGCTTTATCAGCAGACTGATAAGACAACATATGGATTTTCTGTAGTTCTCTTTTAATTTATTGTCAAACAATCACTGAAGGAACAAATCATGTTAAAGTTGTAAATCAAGTCTAAAATATGCTGTAAAGGTTTTATTTAATTGATTTACCTTTACTAATAAAAAGACAATCTAGTCTCCGCTGTCATATTTTGCAATATTTTATTCTAATTGGGCGTAAGAGGCTTTATCTTGAGAGATAGGGATGAAGCTGATATGGAGGGTAAATTTAGAGATCTGAAATATTGTTGATAATCTGATCTTAATCTTTATATGTACCAAGATATATTGAATTCAAATCATTGTCACGTATATTAAGGCATTTACATTTGTTGTATTTTGATAATGCACAACATTGCCATTCAGTTTGTAATATTTAATTATATATTTATTTTTTTTAAAACTTAAAAAGTTGTCGACAGTCAATAAAATAAACAATGCAAATAAATTGTCTCAGTTGATTTTATTACTTGTTTGTCCTGCTTTAATAAACCTTTTTCTTCTACTATTTTGATGTTTAACGGCGGTTGGCATCCATCTTCAATGGTGCATTACTCTTCTGTACTTGAGTGTGGACAAGATTTGGACAGAAATAACAACTGCTCCCTATTACTTCATAGGCTAACCAGACATTCCTCTTTCTCTCTTTAATATATATATATATATATATATATATATATATATATATATATATATATATATATATATATATATATATATATATATATATATAGTATTTTTTCTAATATATCCTTGAGAGCACCCTTGAACTATGGAGTTATTTTTGTTTCTTTATTATTCAATCAAAATATTTAATTTTAGGGGGAAAAGTAACTACATCAGTAATTAAAAAAATAAAAGATTGCAAAAAAAAGTATTTAAAAACTTATGTAAATGCTAATAAAATATTTTAAAGTGCAAAAAATAAACTGTTGTCCTATTATGCAATTGTCATTGGACAAGTTTATTTTGCTCACTGTTTCTGCTGTCATTTATTGCACATCAAGAATCTTTGAAAAGTCTTATACCCCCATTTTCCTTAATTTATTTTAAATAAACTTTACGTCATACGTCATGACTTGAGGCCTCTTTGTTGAGAACCATAGTTTTAACGTAATGGGGTCGAATGGGGTATATGCACTCGAACTTTTAATTTTCAGCCAATTAATTTTAATTTTTTCGGTGAACTGTCTTTCCATTACAAAATCGCCACGTTTAAGATCCGTTTTCTTTTTAAAAAAAAATCAGTGATCTTCACTGCCTGTTAGTAATACGATTTGAAGTGGGTCTCTGGACAGACAAGACGCACTGCATTAAATTCCATTTCCTCTTCCGCCATGCATTAAAAATATGAACATTTATTTTACCTCAGTATTTTGATTCGAGTTTCTGCGCTCGACTGCTTGTACAGACAGCACTACGTTAGCTGTTACACGGTCAGGGAAGTTATCATCGGGAAGTTATCATCTTGTTTTATTCTTGAACAACTAAATCAAAGTTTCAGTTTATTGAACAATGTATTCTAATAACATTACGATGTCGATGCTGTAAAAGGAACCTTATAAAATATAAATAGGAAGTTTACCGTTGGCTATAAAAAAAACACTTGACTTGTATTTTAAAGCCACTAACCGGAAGCCGGAAGTTAGTGTTTTTCCGCCCATTAGAGCTGTTGTGTTCACACTGCTCTCAGGGCTGGGTCCCTGACAGCTGATGTGATATTTTGGGGGACAAAGCTCTTATTTTAATCAAATACAAGTCAAACCTTTAGAGGAAACATTTTCGTGTCTCCAGTGGATGTAATAAAGGTAAGATTCGAACAGTCGTCGCAAGTCTCTTAGCTTCCGAAAAGGGCCCTGCGCTGTTTACTGCATCAGCTGACCCTATTATTGTTATGATCTTACGTTATACCTGTGTTATTATGACAATAAACCATATACTTTTGATCCCCTGATATCTTATTAAACGTAATTTAAACGTAGATGTTATAGTAATGTTAGTAACATTAATAACGTTAATTTTCTGCTGTATTTGATTGTATGGAATTTACCTTGTTAAAAACGTTGCACTGGTGTATTTACAGAAAGTTACGTTAACATTGTGTAGAATCCCCTCTTTATCTGTTTTGTATATTTTATTACAGCTTTGCGAATGAAAATGTTCAGCTTGCATTTCTAAAACCGAATTAATGTAATGTCATCTTAACTGCATTTCTGTAATGATTCGTCCTAGTTTGTTTTGCCTTTTTGTGTTATGAAGCATCCATTATGATATAATTATCGTCTCTCTCTCTGTGACCTTTTATTTATTGCAGTTTTTACTTTGACTACAAAAAACACACTTTTGAATAACTATCAGTGTATTTTAGTAACATGGACTGTGTCGAGAATGCTTATATATTCAGAGAAAACCTTGTCTGTTCATTTACATAAGCCAGTTGTGATTTAATTTCAGGACTAATCATGACTGCCATTAAACACGCCCTTCAGAGGGATATTTTCACTCCCAATGATGAGCGCCTGTTGAGCATCGTCAATGTTTGTAAAGCAGGGAAGAAGAAGAAGAATTGTTTTCTATGTGCCACCGGTAAAGCACTGACACACACCACAGATCCAAGTCAGAGCATGTCATCATGCATCCGTTTGTTTATTTGGTGTCTTTTTGTTGTTTTCAGTGACTACAGAGCGTCCAGTGCAGGTGAAGGTGGTCAAAGTGAAGAAGTCGGATAAAGGAGATTTCTATAAGAGACAGATGGCATGGGAACTACGAGACCTGACAGAGGTTGATGCTAAAGATGCCAATAAGGTGAGAGGTTACATGAGAATCATTATAAGTGTAGCGGAGGCCAGCTAGCAAAGAGCTGTGCAGGTAAACCTCACTCCTCTGACCTCAAAACGTGCTCTAGCAACAGACGCTAGAGGTCATGGTCTTTAGTCTCCTTGTTAGACAGGGTTCATACTGTCATGGAAAACCTGGTAAAGTCATGGAATTTTGACAGTTGGAAAAGTCATGGACAACACATATCTGTATACTTTAATATAGGTTCGTTGTCTTTACTTCTTTTCTGTCCTTGGTTGATCAAATACTCTTACATTATTAGTGCAGTTTCAGCTTAAATAAATTTTACATAGACATAAATGTAAATTGGGTGTCATGGCGATGCCGTGGGTAGCACTATCGCCTCGGCTGGGTCAGTTGGCATCTCTGTGTGGAGTTTGCATGTTCTCCCTGTGTTCATGTGGGTTTCCTCGGGGTGCTCCGGTTTCCCCCACAAGTCCAAAGACATGCGCTATAGGTGAATTGGGTTAGCTAAATTGTCTGTAGTGTATGTGTGTGAATAAGTGTGTATGGATGTTTCCCAGTGATGAGTTGCAGCTGGAAGGGCATCTACTGCGTAAAACATATGCTGGATAATTTGGCAGTTCATTCCGCTGTGGCAACCCCAGATTAATAAAGGGACTAAGCCAAAAAGAAAATGAATGAATTAATAAATATAAATTGAAACTAATTTGATTGTTGCGTGTTTTAGTATATGCCGTAATAATTTTGGTATTATACAAATGTATTGTTTTTTACCATGCATATGTAGACATTGCATGAAACATTAGGTCATAAGAATTTACTTGAAAGTCTTGGGAAAAATCATGGAAAAGTCCTGGAATTTTTGTAGTAAAAATGTGTATGAAACCTTGTTAGAGCCACCGACTCCCATGCAAAAAAATCGCTGGTTCGATCCCAGCTCAGAACGGGTTGGATGGTAGGACTGGTGGGTTATATATCTGTTCAAGCATGACATAAATGCAAATAATCACATTTCTGTTACATATTGATATTATTATCTTACCGGTTGTTTGATGATGCTGGATACAGGTATATTTTAGGATTATTAATGTATTGTCATTAGTGGCTTTTGTATCATATTTTGAGATTTATTTACATTTGTAAAATAAAAAATAATAATTTTATTTATTTTTAAATGTCACTTATTTTATTTGTTGATTTGTCATTTTAGTGCTTAAACTTATTTCAGGTAGTTGCCAAAGCAACATTTTAAATTAGGATTTTCAACCTAATTTGTATTAAATGATTACATCTTTATTTATATTAATGGAAAAATCAGTTTCAGTCAACAGTTATCACACTTCTTTAGTATATATTTTTTTAGACTAACTAAACGTTTTTTTTTTATTTTTTATCATCGGTTATTTTAATACATCAGCACATACAAATACAGTCTCAGCTATACAGTAGGAAAAAAATTAAATTATATAGACAAGTAAACAGGATGATACAGTCAGGCTATGAGTATAAACCATAGAAGAGAAAATCTGGTGAAAATAATAATGAAAGGCCAAAAAGGTGTCCATAGCTGCCAAAAGTCATTGGACTTTTGATGTATGTCATAGATGAGTTTCTCAAGTGGTAGCATACACACTTGAGACAACCACATTTTATAGGAGGGTACCTGAGGAGATGACCACAATAAAAGTCTACTTTTCTTTGCCAAATAGACCAAGATTAAAACAAATGCTTGGTGTGGGAGTCCAACCTATTCTCTACTTCACCATATAACAAATACAATTCCAGAGAAAAACTCAATTGTATCTTAAAGAGTCCTTGTAGAAAATGATGTGCTTTCTTACAAAAAGAGATGATTTCTTCACAATGCCAGAAACCGTGAAGGAATGTTTCTTTGGATTTTTTACAGTTAAAACAAATCCAGACTAACTAAACATTTATGTACTCTTTAAATCTTAATTATTTAAGAACACTTAATTATACGGTGCATTATAATGTAATGTTATTCTATATAATGTAATATCATTCCTAAGTTCACTTGTAGAACTTTACAGCAATTACTTTTTTCTTGATTCTTATTCTTATTCTTACATTTACTTTTTTTTTAATCTAAAACTTATAATCAATGGGCATCAGCCTGTATGTAATTGATATCTTATTTTTTTTCCTTCATGCAGGAAAACCCAGAGTTTGACCTGCATTTTGAGAAGGTTTATCGTTGGGTGGCAAGCAGTACAGCAGAGAAGAATTCCTTCATCTCGTGTATTTGGAAGCTGAACCAGCGTTACCTTCGCAAGAAAGTGGAGTTTGTAAACGTCAGCCCTCAGCTGCTAGAAGGTGTGACTCGCTGCTACTCCTGGTGGTGTGGTGGAGTAATAGCATGTTAAACAGCCACTGTGTTTTAAGATGCAGTTACCTTAAAGCCATATGACAAATCTAAAGCTGTTACATAGAATTATTACATTTGCAGTGGTAGGGACTCTTTCTGTTTTCCTGCAGCTAGTTCTCTCTTTTCTCTCTTTGGGTCTCTTTTGGTTCTGCAATGTGTCTTTTTGAGTGCCCTTAATGCTTTAACCAGATCTGTGCTGTTCTCTCTAAATCTCTCACTGGCCAGAGCTTCCTAAAGCTGAAGGTTTGTACGCTGTTTTTTTCCACCTTTCATCCTCTTCCATTTCCTTCTCCATTTTTTCCATCTTCTCTTATTGTTTCCCCTTCATTAATGCTCTTATTTTCCGCCAATTAATTAGTTTGCTCAACTACTGATATCTTCATATATTTAGACAGTGCTCACCCTTTAGATTTTTTATGTGTGCTTGTTTTTTTATTACTTACATTTTATTTGTTCAGTAGATTAGTTTATGTACTCACATGCATATCTAAGCTATTGTTCAAATGTTTGGGGTTGGTTAGAGTTTTAAGAAATGTTTTAAATACCTGATATGTTCACTAAAGTTCTTTTTATTTATTGGAAAAACAGCTAAATTGTTTAAAGTGATAGTTTTAAATGGAATAGAAAATTTCCTCATCATTTACGTTCCTTTTATGAGTTTTTTTCTCCTGTGGAAGACCACTATGGAAGTCAATGTGTTCCAGAAGCCAGCATTTTTCTAAATATCTTTTTTATTTGTTTAACAGAAGACAGAAACTCAAATAGATTTTTAAACAAGTTAAGGGTGAATAGATTATACGATTTTCAGACACAATTTTCAGTTTTGGTGAACTATCACTTTAAAGCAGGTGTGTCCAAACTCGGTCACAGAGGGCCAGTGTCCTGCATAGTTTAGCTCCAATTTCCTTCAACACGCCTCCCTGGAAGTTTCTAGTATACCTAAAAAGATGGGGTTGAAACTAAAATCTTCAGGACACCGGCCCTTCAGGACCAAGTTTAGACACTCCTGCTTTAAAGTATTATCAATGTAACATATTATATACACAGTTTTACATATTTACATGTTTTTACAATGTAAATAACAGTTTTCACATACAAAGCAAATCTTTAGCTTAATTTTTTCAGTCTTTAGTGTCACCTCATTCTTCATCTGTTTCTTTAGGCTTCTTTAATAAAAAAGGTCTGCATTTGTTAATATTAATAAATGCATCAATAAAATAGCTACATTGACATAAAATATCTTTTGTGAATTTATGTTTTCACTGTCACTTTTGTATTTTTTTTCTTCTGAAGTATTTTATTTATTTATTTATTTTTTTTACAAAATTTACACTGACCCCAAACGTTTTAACAG